GGGGACAGGGTTTGCTTTGACAGTGCTGGGGAAACAGTTGGACTCGGTGTTCATAGAGGTCTTTTCCAACCTGATTCTGTCAGGCTGTGATCTCAGCTGGAGGGAAGCAGGGAAATGGGAGCAGGTGACTGAGAAAGAAGCCTCCAGAGATGCCTGCTGTGGGGGCCAGAGCAGGACGTTCATCTCCTGTGCTGCTTTTAATGGTTATGGGCAGGGAAGAGGCAGGAAGATCCTGCTGGCTGACGTACTAGGACGGCACAGGGCATCTTTTTTGGGAAAATGGTTCCACCGAAGCTGGAGAGGAGGAAAGGTTAACCGAAATGACTACAGCTATGGAAAATGGCAGCAGCTGGAGTTGCATCTTTGTTCCCAAGTGGCTTTTGGTGTCATTCACGTAGATGGTGCTACTGCCTTCCCACAGCTTCATCTCCCAGCAGCTGAAGCTCGTTGGTGGCTGACGCATTTCCGTGTGGTTTAAGGTTTTTCCTCCTTCCAAGCCTGTCTTGACCTGGCCAGACTGTGCCATCGTCATAATCCTGAGCTGGCTGCATTGCCGAGCTTCCCAGCCTCTAAAGCACCGCGCTGGAAATCCCCAGATTAGGTCTTAATGGAAAGATCAAGTCAGCGGGAGATGAGTGGGGAGAAAGCGCCTCTGCTTACGCAGATGGACAGGCAGCCCTCCTTGAGAAAACAGGCTATAGAGCCTGAAATGTCAGAAAAACATCCTCTTTCCTGGCCTCTCTGGCTTTTCTCTGCTTTCAACACATCCATAGTTTTCCAAGGGTCAGAAAACCCTGGTCTGAGTTTTGTGAAGACGCCCTCACAGAGGAAAATGCTGTCTTGAGTGTTGGATGTTCTGTCCCAGCTGTTAATTCCCAGCACTAAATTCTGCCACCCCTGTTTGAAATCCTGGCTGTGGGACATTGCAGTGTGCTGGAGGATGCCAAGGATTTGTGGCTGTCTTTAACATCTGTGCTGGTGGGGTTTGTGGAACGCCAGAGAGTCTGGGAAGTGTGGTGGATGTTTTCCAGGATGGCATTACCACTGAGCACCCAAGATGCTCCAGGGCAGGGGTTTGGGTGTAGTCCTTCGGGAAGGTGGCACAGCAGGGATTGCACAGACCAAGCCCTGCCCACCCTGCTCTTTACCTGCACAGGTCATCAAGGGCTCTTGGTCAGCAGGGCTCTGAGGTGTTGGATTTTATCAGCCTGCACTGACCAGGAGAAGCTGTGGCCGCCCCATCCCTGGAAGTTCCAAGGCCAGGTTGGACAGGGCTTGGAGCAGCCTGGGATAGTGGAAGGTGTCCCTGCCCACAGCAGGGGTGGGGAACAAGATGAGCATTAAGGTCCCTTCCAACCCAAACCATTTCGTGATTCTGTGATATGCCTACAAGAAAGTGGGATTTTCTAGAGGCCCTGTGATGGGTGTGGGAGGGTGATGGAGACTTTTTCCTTTGCATTGGCTTGGTGGTGCCCGTGAACTTTCCACTCAAACGTTTCAGGGAGGGGGTGAGTTATGCCAGTGGGGCATCTTTGCACAGAGTTGTCCTCTCTGTTTGTTTCTGGACAGCTTGAACAGAACATTCCTGTGCCCCCCAAAAACAACTCTAGGAAGCAAAGGTTGCTTGTATGGGACTCGTGCACCCAGTGAGCCCTAGGAATGCATGGCAGGAGGAAGAGGAAGTGGAGGACAAGGGCAGAGCCAGCAACGTCCCCCAGCCCCCCTGCAGGGATTTGGGCTTTGCTCAAGCTCAGCTGAGCCTCCTGCCGTCAGGGATAGCATCCCTGATAGGATATCAGAGGCATGATTCCCTGGATCCCAGCTTCTGCTTTTTCCAGCTCCTGTATGGAAGCTAGGCTGGAGAGCAACATCCAGCCCAGAGCTCCATTTCTCTTCTCCTGTTCTGCTTCATGTGCCTCCTCCTGTATGATGATGTGATGTTTGTGTTATTAAATTAATTCAAAACACAGTGTTCAGATTTCTCCTAATTGGAAGGGAATTACTCCAATTTTAGGGATGTTTTGGTATTTGTGAAGTATCAGCAAGCATAAACCCAAGAGCCCCAGCTGAGGCAATTGTTCCAACCTCTAAAAAATGAGAAAAGAGAAAAATTGGAGTGCGTACGTTTGCTCGTGGGGAAGAGGAGTTTCCCTGCTGGTCTGGGCTCTCATTTTCCCTCCTATGCCTTGTTCTCTGATTCCTGAGTTGCTTTTTCAGACATAGGGGTTTCCTCATAGATTAAGGAAATTTCCCAGAATTTAATATATTTGAGCCAAGGAGGAACCAGATTGCTCTGAGAACTGATGATGTCTTCTCTAGGCACTTTTGCAAAGGAATCTGCAATTAACTAGCCTATTTACTGTGGCATGGGATCATCCTTTGGAAGTACATTGTCGTGCTTTGGGGCAGATCTCCCCTTGCTGTGGTGCAAAACCTTTTGGCTGCTCCTCATACGTGGAAGAAGGATGCTCCAGTCCTCCACCTGTGGTTGCCCAGGTGTGGTGCTTGGCAGAGCCTCACTTGACCCATTGTGCAGCTTCCCTTCTGGGGCCTAGCCTGACACTTCTGTCTCCCAGTTCCATGTCTTTCACCTCTGTGGGGCTGCACCTGCTTGGCACTGGGCTGGAGCAGGGCTCTGTGTCTCCTCTGTCCATTGGGCCGCATGTAATGGTGTCCTCAGGGCTTTCAAGTGGGGGACAAAGGAGCCATTTCAGAGCTATGGTGAGCAAGGCAGAGCATGGTGGTGGAGAGGAAGGGGCTGAGATTGTTCTCTCCAGGCAGGGAATGCTCTGAAATGCCCAAAATGACATTCTGGGGGATAATTTTCCCAGCCCTTTGTCCATGTAGAATGAGGGCTGTTGGGGGAGGCCTGTGCCCAGAGTAAATGCTTCGGATCTATTGTTGCCATGCCTTCCATTGAGCCCATGAGCCCCCTATAAAACACTTACCTTTCACTAGTATGATTAAGAAAAGGCCAATAGAGCTTTCCTGTTCACTGGAGCATGAAGCGTGTTTAATTTAATAATGCTGATAAATCTTAAAGCCAGGAGCATTTGGCTAACACATGACCCACTTTTTCAATCAATTGGAAGCATTTACGTAACAGCCTGATGCAGAGTTCCTCCTGCAAGGGATGTGGAGCTGGGGATGGCAAACACCCTCCCTGCCACAGGACCAGGGCGAATGGCTTTGGACTGAAAGAAGGGAGGATTAGATGAGATTTTAGGAAGAAATTCTTCCTTGTGAGGGTGGAGAGGCCCTGGCACAGGGTGCCTGGAGAAGCTGGATCCCTGGAAGTGTCCAAGGCGAGGTTGGACTCCAGGGCTTGGAGCAGCCTGGGATAGTGGACGGTGTCGCTGCCCATGGCAGGGGAGTGGAATGGGATATCTTAAGTTCTCTTCCAACCCAATTTTATGATTCTGTGATGTCTCTGGTGAGCAGTTTATCTCCTGGCACATTGTGAGCACTGGAAATGCTGACCTCCACCTATCTGCTTATTGACCCTTTCTGGCACTGCCTCCCATGCACAGGAGCCGGCCTGGGGTTAACCAACACAGCCAGTTACTATTTTCCTCCATTGTACACCTTACAGTAGGCTCAGTCCTGAAAATTCCTGATCTTCCCTGTTGTGTTACAGTCTCTCAGCCCATTCCTGTTACTTTAGTCTGCAATGTCATCGCCTTTTTCCTTGGAAATATTCTCCTTCTCCCCACCCTCAAAAGCACCTTCTGTCTTGACATAGAACCAGATGGTTTGGGTTGGAAGGGACCTTAAAGCTCATCTCATTTCACCCCCGCCATGGGCAGGGACACCTTCCACTCTCCCAGGTTGCTCCAAGCCCTGTCCAGCCTGGCCTTGGACACTGTCAGGGATCGGGACCCCACAGCCTCTCTGGGCAGCCTGTGCCAGTGAATCTGTTTTGGTGTTGAGCACATTTCATTTCTTATCCTTCTTGTGAAGATTCCATCTTTTTTTTTCCATTTGTAAGATGCAGCAGCCTCAAGCCCCATGTTTGCATGTAGGTCATAAGCAGCCTCATTCCCAGTGAGCCAGTGTCCTTTAGCTTCAGGGAATTCTATCCCCCTGCAAACCACGTGGGTTTATCCATTTTGGGTTTCATAATAACCTCTGGGAAGAGGTTTTGCATCAAACCCATATCCCAGCCACGGTCTGTGCATTGCTGCTGTTTATTCATCCTGACTTGCATTAAAGCAGTACTTGAGAACTTGTTTATCTTCTGCTGTTTTTGCTCACATAAGTCCCTGTCTGAGCAAAGGGAAATGCCAGATGCTTGTGAGCAGGATGAAAAATCTCCCATCTGATACAGACTGAGGGATTAAATAATGTGAGGGAGGATTGCTCTGTATCCCTCAGCACTTCATGTAGAAGAATGCTGGCACCTCCCTCTGGGATGGGACTGCTCTCCCCATGCAGTGGGCTGCAGGGACATTTCATATGCCACGTCCTCATGCAGAGATGCTCCTAAAGAGGCATCAGGCGTGAAAAATGAAGGATTTGTTGCCATTCTGTGGTTTTTATTTATTTCACCCTCTTGACTTCAAAACATCAGTGACCCTCTAGAGGGCAGAGGAGGAAAGAGAGAAAATGGAAAAAGGAAAACAGCATGGTTTCCTTAGATATTTGTGACATGAGTGGCTGGAAGGGGTGTGGTCCACAGTCTGCCCAGCTGGGAGCTCTCAGGTCAGGATGCGTGGCAACCAGGATGCCAGTTCTGTCCTTCCCATTCCGTGCTCCTGGAGCCAGATAGACAATCCTGACCACAGCAAAGGTGCCTTGTGGTTTTCTTTATGCTGGAAATGGTGAGCTTTGGTTTGCTAGACAGGTGCTGTGGTCGCTTTAAAGCCCCACTGCAGCTGCTGGCCCTTGGCCAGGCTGCTCATCTGATGCCCGACTCCAGAGTTGTTTTTTAGCTACTCTGTGGGGTCTGTCCCACCCCCAGGAGCCCATTCTGAGAGCCAGCCTTCCCCGCTGTGTCCCAGGTGATCCCGCCAAGGTGCTGCCTGTGCCGGGCTGCTCTCCCAGCTAGCGCACGTCTCCCGTTCCCGGTAGGAAATGGAGTCCAAGGTCTCCGAGGGCGGCCTCAACGTCACCCTCACCATCCGGCTGCTGATGCACGGCAAGGTAAGGGGCTCCCGCAGTGGGGGTGTCTTCACAGGTCCCTGTCCCACCTGCCCAGCCCCACACACAGCTTTGTCCAGCTGTCCCAGCCCCAGGAATAGCTGTCCTGCCGGTGGGGAGGGCAGCATGGTGCTCCCGCTCCCTCTCATTCCTGCCCCTCAACCCTGTCCCTCTGCTGGGAACTATGTCCACCAGGTCTTCACTTGGTTATGGGGTTGGGTTGGTTTCTCATCATGTTTTCTAATGTCAGTTCCTTTGGTTTTGGCTTTTTCTCTGTGTAGGAAGTTGGAAGCATCATTGGGAAGGTAAGGATGCCTTTTAATGTACCTTTGATGCTGTTCCTGCACCTGTGGTGTGGCATATGCCACAGTCACCTCTTCCCTGTGATGTCCTGAAAAGTGTTGGGTGCCTGAGCTAGGTGCTGCATTTGTGAGCCAGAAATTAGGAGAAACCCACAAAGGGGTCAAAAGACCATTCACCTAAAAACCTCACCAACCACCAGAGGTCAAAAGACCATTCCCACCAAACCTCACCAAACTCACCTGTTTCCAGCTGCTTACAGTCATGTTGCGCTGGTGTTTTCATCAAATAACTTCATTAAGAGATACTAAAAATGTCACACAGATACATTTAAATTATATTTTAAGTAATTCTATAGCCCCTGTCTCTGAGGCCAGAGGACTCCATTTACCTTGTCCAAAAAGGCTTCCTGAGTTGCTCTGATGTTTCCACAGTGTTTTGGAAAGTCCTGGCTATACAGGATTAGGGTTTTTTTTGGGTGGTTTTAAAAGAAAGGTTTATGGTGGCAAACATTTTCAGCATGAACACGTTTTCCCTGTATGCTTGTGCCTTATTTTTCCATCAGCGTGTCCAACTCTGGGAAGATTCACAGTTGTGAATTTGTATATACATATTTGATCATTTACATGCTCAGCTCTTCAGCTGACTGTCACGTGTGAATGCAGGGCCAGGCATCACAGCCCCCATGTTTTTGGCTACACATTGGCATGTATTAGGGAGATGCATTTTTGGTAGGGTTGTTTTAAAGGTAGAAGTGTTGAATTTTCAGTAATGGCTTGGTTTTCCCTCTTGTTTCAGAAAGGAGAGACTGTGAAGAAGATGCGTGAGGAGGTGAGCAGCCTGCTCTGAGGATGATTTGTAGGAGAAAGGAAGTGCAGAGTGGCCAGAGCTGCATATTGCCCTGTGTGATATGTGCAGTAATTCCTAGGGTCAGGACAAGCAAGCCAGCTGTCCCCAGAGCTCTTTGGACCAGTTTTTTCCCTTCACACTCAAACTCCTGTCCCATTTTCCTGAGTCAAGTATTTAATGAAATGTTGAAATTAAGTCATCTATAAGATGCTTTGAGTTTTTCCAGGGTCTTTGTGCCTGCAGCTCCCGGGGAGTTGTCAGGACAGTGAGTAAAACTCTTCACAGGCAATGACCCCATGAGCTGGTCTTACCTCGATCCCATGGGTTTGCTTTGTGATGAAACATTGGAAACCCTTTCTAAGAGCTGGGATAAGGCAGGGCTGAAATCACTGCAGAGGAGGGGTGTGAGTTGGGAAGGGTTGCTTGAACGCTGTGAGGCTGGCACAGGTATCAGGCTGAGAGAGGACCCAACCTGCTTGGCCGTGGCTATTCCAGGACTCCTCTTCTCTTTCCAGAGCGGGGCAAGGATCAACATCTCAGAGGGGAACTGCCCTGAGCGGATTGTGACCATCACTGGCCCCACCGATGCCATCTTCAAGGCTTTTGCCATGATCGCCTACAAATTCGAGGAGGTGAGAAATGTGAGGCAGCCCATGGCTGGGGACAGCAGTGCCTGCTTGGATTTTACTAACTGGGACATGGCCTCAGCACAGAACCTTTCACACGTCTCTGAGTGGGGTGGGTCTGGAGCACGAGTCTGATGGGGAATAGCTCAGGGGGCTGGGAGACTCAGCCTGGAGAAAAGGAGGCTCTGGGGGACCTTCTCACTCTCTACAACTGCTTGGAAGGAGAGTGTAGCCATTTAGGGGTTGGTTTTTTCTCCCAGGTAAGAAGTGACAGGACCAGAGGCAATAACCTCGGTTTGGGTTGGATATTAGGGAAGATTTCTTCACTGGAAGGTCTGTCAGGCCTGGGAACAGGCTGCCCAGGGCAGTAGTGGTCACCATCCCTGGAAGTGTTCAAGAGGGAGCACTTTAGTCACCTGACCACGATGTGTGTAGATGTGCCACCTGGGCGCTGGAGGTGGCTCTCGTCAGGTACCAAGGGCTGATGTGCTGCACTTTTCCTTCCCAAGGACATAACCAACTCCATGAGCAACAGCACCGCTACCAGCAAGCCTCCAGTGACACTGCGGCTGGTGGTGCCTGCGAGTCAGTGCGGGTCCCTCATCGGCAAGGGGGGCTCCAAGATCAAGGAAATCCGGGAGGTAAGGCAGATTCTGTTTCATTATTGCCTTCAGTGCAGCTCCTCGGAGCTGATCTGCATCCAAGGGGGAGCTGCCTTGGAAAAATGGATCCCTGTGCTGCATCACAGATCACATTGCTTCCCGGGATGGTGTGGCTGATGTAGGAGCAGCATCCCACGGGATGCCCCGTGCCGGGCCCTCGGGAGGTGCATGGTGTTGGGGCTGGAGCTGGCTCTGAGTGAAGGCGTTCAGCTGTGGGATTTCTCCTTCCTCTCGCTTTCTGTCTCCAGTCCACAGGTGCTCAGGTCCAAGTGGCGGGGGACATGCTGCCCAACTCCACAGAGCGGGCGGTGACAATCTCGGGGACACCCGACGCAATTATCCAGTGTGTCAAACAGATCTGTGTGGTGATGCTGGAGGTACAGTCTGTAACAAAGAGGGTAAAGTACATATGGAAAAAAATCCCAGCTGGCCCCACCAGAGTGTTGGGAGCTGTAGAGTGTGTCTCTCTTGTCCCCTTCACCTCGCGTCGTCGGACCACTCTCATTTCCTGGTACCTCTGCTGGAAATACACCCCGTGTCTTTTCCCCACCATTGTCCGTAGTTTCTAGAGTCCCACACTGGAAGCCTGTCTGGTTGGGTGCCCCAAAGGAGGTGGTTTGTGTCAGAGCAGGGGGTGGCTTTAGGGCAGAGGGGTGCCAGCAAGCTGGGACAGCCTGGCCTGGCGTCCCAGCAGCACTCAGGGTGCTGTGAGAAGGATATGGGGGCTACAGACAGCCACTGCTCCAAGAACCTGGTCTCTGCCTCTCAAGGACCACAACCAGGAGGAGGAGGCCAGAGCATCCCCTGCACTGGGAGAGCTGGAACTGGGAGCACAAGGCTGTGTTCCAGTGAAGTACAGTGGGAATGGTAATGAGGAAGGCTGGTGGAGATCAGGGACTGTAGGGCACATAGATATATGTCCAAGGTGCCCTTTTCTGGGATAAATGGTGACAGGCAGAGCTGGAAGATCTCTGCCATGGAGAAATGCTGCAGTACCAGTTGCTGGAGATGACCTCAGCCACATGCCTCATGTCCACACCTGCCATCTCAGATGGGAGAAGCTCCAGGAAGAAAGCCCCTGGGACCCAGGATGGTGACACATTCCACTTCTGGTGCATCCCAGAGACAGACAAAACAAGGACCAATGTGAGGCGCTCTTGCATTGTTTCCCACTGGAAAAGCTTCAGATGTGGATGGCAAGGCTTGGTGAAGGTGATGCAAAGCCAGATGGAAGCATCTTCAGCTTGGCAGCAGCACATCTCAGCAGGGATAGCCGGGAGCCACATTTCCCATCCCTGCTGGCTGTGATGCTCAGGCAGCTGCACTGCTGCCGTAGGAATTTTGGATGACCAGGTCGCAGACTGCAGCACCCAATGACATCTGGGTCATCATCAGACTGCAGCAGAGATGAGCCTGAGGTGATGCTTACCAGGTGTATTAAAAAGTTTTTCTCACAAAGCAAGATGATCTGCTCCTCTGTACAGAGAGGAAAGAGAAAAACCCACAAGTCTTCTTGCAGTCTGAAATCTGGAAAGTGCCCTGGCTTTAATGGCTCATAGAGATGTTCCATATCACCTTTCAGCCTTAAACAGATAATCCCATCTCGTCCCCTCCAAGATTTGTAATGCAATAAAAGAACAAGTGCGTTTGGGATGCTGGAGATGTACTTTGATCAGCTTTCCCGCAGACAGGTGCTTAGCAGCAGGAGTTAGATAATGCTGCTTTCCTACAAGTGGATATCCAAAGAATGTACAGGAATTTATTTTTTTTTTCCATGAGATAGTGTAATTTCTATTGCCTGTCCTTATATAGCAGTCACTGAGTTGTTTTAATTTTGGGTAGAAAGGAAGAAGAGAGCTGAAATCTCTCCTGGTCCCTAGAAACTTCCATGTTTCCTATAGCCCGTAAGTTGTTCAGGAGAAAACCAGAGGAAGAACCTGGGTGAGCAGCTCCTGTGCATCACACCTGCGGCCCGTTCACTGCAGCTCTGCTCAGACCTACCCAGGGAGGAGACAGAGCAGCAAGACCACAGAATCATGGAATCACAGAATGTGTGGGTTGGAAAGGACCTTAAAGGCCATCTAATTCCAGCCCCCTGCCATGTGCAGGGACACCTCTCAGCTGACCACAGGTGCCTTGCAGCACCCACGTCACAGCTCAGATGGCGATGACCGCACCAAGGCCTGAAGGTGACCCTTTTCCAGCGCTGAGGAAGATGAGGGCAGCCAAAGAGCTTGAGCATGGTGCTGGGTTGCTCAGATGGGCTGTATCTCCCCATCTTGCTGTTTGAGGCTCTCCTCAGGGCGTTCTGAGGAGGATTCCTGGAGCCTGGAGCAGGCGATGTGGTTTGCGCAGAGCAGAGCAAAGCTGAGGCAGGCAACGGAGGTCCAGGAGGCTATTTAGGGGCCCATTCCTTGGCAGGGGATCTCCCATGCCCCAGGTTGTCCTTGTTGCCCATGGAACCCCTCTTTCCCCCATGTGCTCCTGTCCAGAAATGCAGTGTTGCCTGGTGCGGGTGTTGCCGTGGCGGCCCCGGGGGCCGTGCTCCGTTAGGTGCTTTCTAACACTCTTTTTGCCGCCGTTTCAGGAAAGCTGTTCTAATGTTCTCTCTCCCTCTCCTTATCCCTTTTCCTAGTCCCCACCAAAAGGTGCCACCATTCCCTACCGCCCAAAGCCCGCCTCCACCCCTGTCATTTTTGCAGGTGGTCAGGTAAGAGCCGACCCGCTTGCAGCCTCCACTGCCAACCTCAGCCTTTTACTGCAGCACCAGCCGCTGCCCGTTAGTGCACTCAGGTTTCTTGCCTTCTGACTTGCATGGTGTCATTCCATCCATTGTGTGCCATGGCAGCTGGACTGAAAGCTCTTGGCTTAGCTCCTGTGATGGATGCTGGACAATGAGCAGAAGGGAACAGCCAGCCTGGGGAGACACAAAGGAAAGGCTAGAATTTACTTCACCAGACCCAAGTTCAGTATTTGTCAGTGGTTGAGAAGGAGAGGATTAGAAAAGAGTTGTTGAACAAGAGGATGTCGCTGCTCTCTGGCACCTCCAGCTCAATTAGAAATACCTTTGTGTAGCTGTAACTGATCCATTGTAGGAAGGGCTTGTCACAGCTCCTTCTCTGTTCAGGGCAGCCACCATGGGAGAGCCGTGTCCCCCTCCTTGGCGCTCAGCTGGTTTGGGGTATTGCTTCCCCCTGTGCCAGAGCCTGCCCTGTGTCACCCCAGTGACACTGCAGCCTTGCAGACATCTCGTGCTATTTCCAGCCATGAGCTTTGGGGTGGTTTTTCCTTTGTGGGATGACCATCACACGGATGAGCTGGAGGTTATTCCGAAAACAAAAATCAGCAGAAACAAGAGCAACTGAGCACATGGCTGTTTCTAAAGAGGGAACTTGCACTGTTGCTTTCTCCACCTCATCTCATCACCTCACCTGGTGACTGAGGGCCTGCCTGTAGATCTCACTCTGCTGAGGTGCATGACATCCAGCAGGGGATGTACCTTCCCAAGAGCTCCAGCATCCAGGCAGGGCAAGCACCACAAAACCACAGCTTATGCCACCCAGAGCAGCTCCACACAAGTCACTTACTTTCTCTCCAATCATAATAAATAGAAGGACAAACTAATAACAGGAGCAAAGCCCAGAGCACAGGCTATTGTAGGCTGAATTAGTCAATCATTGGGATCAGGAGTATGTCACTCCATCTGAGCAGCCGTCCTGGAAAAGAACTTCAAGTCCAGCTGCCTGGTCTGTTCAAAAGGGAGAGTGAGATGGAGGCAGCAGTTCTTCTGCTGTGAATGGCTGGTTTCTTGGACAGAAGTAACATCATGGGAGGAAGCAACTGTGTCTGAAGTGAGAGTTCTTCCCAATGTTGGGAGCCCTTTGGCTCTGCCCAAGGTGTGGCACGGGGCGGGTGGGTCAAGGACAGCTGGTGACAGCTGGTGACAGGTGTTTGGGGTGGGATGAGCCTCCGGGAGCTCAGCAGCCTGAGTGATGTAGCAGCCAACGGCTGCTGCCAAAGGGACCAGCCCTCAGAGGTCAGAGTTGAGTTGCATCTGTCCAAGACACCTTCCAGCCCTTGATTACCTTTTTCGGCTCAGTTTTTCTAATCAAAAACCAATGGCCAAATTAAACCACCAGGACAGGCAACTTTTCAGCCTCTGTCACGTCCCCGTTGTGCTGGGTTGCTGGTGGGCACTGGGACAGACATTTTCCCTTTTCCTCCTGCATGATTTTGGGGGTTTCCTTTACACAAAGCACTTTGCTCTTTGCAAACAATGCAGCAAATTTGCAGGTGGTTCCAAAGTTTTTTCCTTTCATTTTTCTTGGCAATCTTTACTCTCCCTTTTCAAAGTGTTCACCATCTCTTTTGCCATTTCTTTCAGAATCATCTGAATAATGTGTCAACAAGTGAGATATGTTTTGCTTGCTGGTTAAGTCCTAAATATTGGGCTCTCTAGTGTCTGGCTCTTCACTCACATTGCTACTTATTTTGAGATTATTTACTAACAAAAAGAGAAAGGATTGCTATAAAGGATGGGAAAAACACACAAACCCATTTGCCTGGCAGATACTTGCATGGACTTATCAATTACAGCTGGTGAAAGGCATTGCAGTGCAGGCTGCCCTCGCCTCCATGCCTTTCCAATGCCCCAGCAGAGCACTGGAATATACTGGGTGGATGTAAAGCATCCACTGGGACTTGTGCACCTGGAAATATGGACAGGCTCACAGAGCTGGCTTGCTTTTTGGGGTCACGCTTGGGCAGCGATGTCACTGTGCACCTGCTACACAGGTTCTGGTTGTTAGAGGGGCACTAAAGATTGTCCACTTTCAACCCCCGTGCAACTGATCCTTATTTTTTGTACAGCAAAGACCAGCCACAGCCTGATATTCCTGCTCCGTGCAATGCTGGCACCTATAAAGAGCTGTTTCTTTCCTTCTGAAAAAGCCGAACTGAGCCTGAGCCCTTGAAGTCAGATAGCTCAGCATGCTCTAGGTTGAATGGGAGGTGGAACATCTCCCTCCTGCCCCAAGGATTTGGTGCCCCAGGGAATTTAATGTGATACAGGGGGTCCCAACAGAGGGATGGAGTTCTCTCCTCATGTCCTGCCAGCCCTAGTAACATCTTTGCTTTTCCTTTACAGGCCTATACAATTCAGGGACAATACGCTATTCCACACCCAGATGTGAGTTTTACCCTAATTTTTCTTATACCCTTTTCTGTCACCTGCATGCTACTGTCAATTCACATAATATTAATATTAGCCAATAATATTAATAGTGTATTTTCAAAGTAACTGGCCATGTGTAGTATCTGTAATATCTTGAGTAGCCTTTTAACCTGTAAGCACTAAACTTTATTACTTCTGAGGACTTGGCCTGATGCTAAAATGTTTGCATTATTCAGTGCTATCCCTTTGTTCTGAGAGAAACCTGTGCATTTTGTGCCTCAGAATGATCAAAACAGGGGCAAAAAAACCCCAAAATTTTCCTTTCTATTTTCCCCTTGTCTTTAAAATTTTGGTAAGCCAAGGTCATATTTAGCTGCTGAGGGCCTTGGTGGGGTGGGAAGAAGCCAGAACTCTGGCTTCTTCCAAGCCTGGGCAGGTATGTGCCCTTCTGAAGGGGCGCTTCTTTGGGTGACATGGAAATTGGACAAACCCCCCACCGTGTCTCCCAGAGGGACAGGGCAGGTGTTGATGCTGGATCTCACCTTGCTGAGGGCCCCCAGCCCAACGTGGTCACCCCGGGTTTGGTGTCTGTCTCGCTGCTGTGGGTGGCAGGGCAGCATGGGGACAGCCCCCACTTCACCTCGGGCTCCTTGGGGCAGAGACAGGAGCTGCTCTCAGCTGCTCTCACTGAGGCTTGGGCTCATCCCTGGGCTCCCATGCCTGTGGGGGGACATGGAGGGATCGACAGCTGGAATGTGTGCACCTGAAATTACCAAGGGAAATAGAAAATCAGTCCGTTTGGAGGACTTCTTTGAGGAAAGCAGTGAAGCTCAGCTTCTGAGGTGGTCATGGCTTTTAGAAAAGGCAGGGACTTTCTAAATGTGTTTCCAAGGGGATAAAATAGCCATCAGGTCCCATTGCAGATGGTCTCTCCTGCTGTGAGGCAAGGATCTGCAGTGGGGCTGAGGATGTGGCAGTAGGTGGAAAACCTTCTCCAGTCATCCACCCATGCACGGGGTTGATGCAGCTCAGAGCTCCCTTTTCCAGTGAGTGCGTTGGGTACTAAATAATGGAATTACTTTTCCCGTGGTTGAGAAGGTGGCAAGGCTGTTTGATACCATGAATGGGAATACCCCCTTGCCTGCCCTGTATGGGAGCATTAGGGAGCTACAGGCTGGATTTTCATCCTAGGAGAAATGTTTTCACTGGAATTAGAGGAATCCAGGCTTTGGCTTGTGACACCAGTATGTGTGTACTCTGAAGAGCCTGCTGTGATGGTTGATAAGAAATATTCCTCATTATGTACTCTTTGCTTTTCCTCCAAAAGCAGAATATAACAAAATAACCTGTATAGTTAGGATAGATCAATGCAGTCTTTATCCCAGTTTTTCTTTGCAAGTGGTGCCAACAGCTCAGTGTTTTCCTTGTTCCTATACTCCTCTTATTGTCAGGATTAAAATACATTTGCTGACTGCACTGTGCCCCACTCCCAGCAAATTTCCTGAATAAAGCTGTTGGTACAGGGGCTACTCACATCCTTACTCTCAGGTTATTCTTTCAATGACTGGTCATTTCAAACAATGTTCAGTGCAGAATCCAGTCTTGAATGTGCTTTTAGGGCATTTTAAACACATTTTAGGTGTCTGTGTTTAGTGGCTGCCCTTTGCAAAACGGGCAGAATTTTGAATGCCCGGTGTGTTCTCCTGCCATGATTTTGTCCCTGGAGAAGCACTCCAGGACAGGGGAAGCTTTGGCTCATAAGGGGCTTCAGCATTGCCTGGGTGTTTTTGGCTGTTTGGGATGTGATGGGTAGCTGCCTGCTGTCCCAAAAGCTGCGGGATCATAGAGTCAGAGACTGGCTTGGGTTGGAAGGACCCTTAAGGACTCATCTTGCTCCAAACCTCTGCCATGGGCAGGGACACCTTCCACTGTCCCAGGCTGTTCCAAGCCCCATCCAACCTGGCCTTGGGCACTTCCAGGGATCCAGGGCAGCCACAACTTCTCTGGGAACTCTGTGCCAGGGCCTCAGCACCCTCACAGGGAAGGATTTCTTCCCAGAATCCCACCTAACCCTGCCCTCTGTCAATGTGAAGCCACCTTGTCCTGTAACTCCGGGCCCTTGTCCAAAGTCCCTCTCCAGCTCTCTTGGACCCCCTTTAGCCCCTTGGAGCATCTCCGTGACCTCCTCTGGACTTGCTCCAACAGATCCATGTCCTTCCTCTGCTGGAGACTCCAGAGCTGGATGCAGTACCTCAGGTACAGTCTCACCAGAGCAGAGGGGATGAGCTGGAAGAGATGGACGTAGCAGCTTTTTCCATGACACCTGGATGCAGCCATCTTCTCCTCTCCTAGACTTGTTTATTGCTCTAATTGCAGGGGCTGCATAAATACCGCTATCTGAACTATGTCTGGAAGGTCTACTAGGTCAGTGTTAGAAAAGATTTTGGTCTCCCCCACGTGGCAAGCAGGACCCCTGTCCCAGGGCATGGCTGGAGCCCACTGGGCAAAGAGATTTCATCTGGAGTCCTGCCAGTGGGACCAGGTGTCATGAGGAATTCCAGAAACAGGGTGCAGCTCCAGGATAGTTCTGAAGTTGAAAAGCATTAGATGCTGATGTCCCTGCTCCCTGCAGGAGCAGTAGCATGCCCAGTGTTATCTGGAGACAGCTGTGTTGTGGCTGGAGCCCATCATATCACACCTTTCACTAAAGTAAGCCAAAGACAGCCAAAATAGGCACAGAGATGTGCAGACACCTCTTTTTGTGGAGTGGTGAGACATCTCCCCTGAGGCAGCAGGGGCTGGGTGTCCTCATGCCTCTCCAGACAGGACAGGGATCCCACAGGTAACCTGTCCAGGAATTTTCAGGTGTTTCACTCCTTCCTGCTGCTTCCCTCCAGCCTCCCCCAGTGTGCTCATGCCCCCAGGTCAGCTCTTCCCAGCATTTCCCCCTCACTGCTGCCAGCCGGACATCTTCACTCTCCCTCCCTAGCCCTGCTGCAGCAGCAAGGAGACATTTGAGTCTTGTTGCCCCCCAAAACATTGAAACTATAACTCCTGCCTCCCCATTGCCAGGAATGATGGGCAAAAGAAGCAGTTTAAATTTAGGTGGTGATATGGTGCTGAAAACTCCCAGAGCCCCTGTGAAAGTGGGAGGTTCTAAAGAGTCTTCCCTCCTGCTTACTGCCAGTCTTCAGCCCAGTTTGGTTTGTTTTCTTTTCTTTTCCTGTCTTTTTGGGTTTTTGTTTTGTTTGGTGGTTTTTTGTTTGTTTGTTTGTTTGTTTTTTATTATTTGGAGCAGTAAAACTGAGCACAAAATGTATTCCAAACAAACACCTCTCTATGAAACTCCCTGACCAGGCAGCCAAACCTCCTCAGCACAACAAGGGATACAAGGATCTGAAATACCTACTGGTCATGACTGAAGCCCATAATTCCCCATATTTCTAATGAGCTGGCATTTAGAAATGCCGTTTATCCATCTCCCAGAGGCCGTTCCAATTGGAGGCACAGCACAGGAATGTGTGCTGCGGGGACAAGCGGTGACAATGTGGCTCAGGTGGCACAAAGAGGGTTCCTGGGTGCTGGCTGTGACGCCCACCATCTGGCCCTGCACGGAGGCAGAGGAGTTGAACTGACACTAAGAATGGGCTTCTTGCTGGTATCGTACTTCAGACCCTGACCAAGCACTTCTGCCAAAGATTTGGGCTTTATTGCACTATACCCAGGCCAAGTCCTTTCTGCTAATGTTTTTGCCATGTCTCACCATGGCTTCCTGGTTTGGTTTTGTTTTTGTTTTTGTTTTTGTTTTTTTTTTAATTTTTATTTTTCAGTTTGTTTTCCTTTTCCCCCACCCGCCCATTATAATTTTGTTCTTGCTTTTTGGTGTGACTTGTACTCTATGACAATAACCTTCTTAGCTCTAATGTCCCTCCTACCCCTCAGCAGTTGACCAAGCTCCACCAGTTGGCTATGCAGCAAACCCCCTTTACTCCCCTTGGACAGACCACCCCCGCTTTCCCTGGTACGTACCCACATGCCCTTTCAAGATATCCTTCTCTTACCTGTAGACTTTCTCTCTCTTTCTAAACTCTTGTTGTTAATGGAAATGAGCAGGGCGTGTAAAAAGTGGCAATATCCATGGGGAGAGGTTAAGGAGAGGCTTGATGGATGTTGTGGGGGCTGTGGTGCTCAAGGCGAGCTCTCAGCCTGGGCTTTCCCAGCAGAGGCCGTGAGCACCATCCCTCCTTCCCTCTCTCCATGAGGAGGCGGCATCCTCTGCCCCGCGCCGCTCCGGATTCTGGCGGGACACGCGTGCTTTCCCGGCACAACGCCCGAGCTCTCCTGGCGGGACGCCCGCACCCTCCCGGCAGGAGCGGCTCAGGCCAGCCGGGCGTGCTGCGCGGGGAGCGGTGCCGAGCCAGGCAGGACGGAGCTGTCGTGGTGGGAAGGAGGCATGGCCGGAGGGGGCTGCGCTGATGGGAGGACAGCCAGCCCCGGCATGGCCCGAGCCTTGTCCTCGAGGCCGGCATGTTCCCGGTGACCTGGGAAGCAGATAGAGCACAGGGGATGGAGGTGCATAAAGTACTGCTTGGAAATTACTGTTCTGACAGTATGTTCATCATATTTTGAGCTTCCTAGATGAAGTGACATTGCTTATCTCCTCGAAGGGAAAAGCATTAAACCTGTTTCTTCTTTGCTCTTCAGGAGAAAAGCTGCCCTTACATTCCTCCGAAGAAGCTCAAAATCTGATGGGCCAGTCATCAGGTAAAACACAAAGCTAGAAGGAAGTAAGCAGGCTTTGGTTGAAATGTATTCCATAAATAGGACTGTGCCGTTGTTGTGCTCCGAGAGGAATCATGATATTCGTGGAGAAGACAGCAGATTGTCTTGGTGTGCAGGAAGAGATCAGGCAGCACCCTTCTCCTTGTGCAGCATGTCAAAGCAAAAGTGCCTTGGCTTTATTACCTGGCTCTGTGATGTTTTTGTGCAATTGCCATAGAACCACAGAATATCTCGAGTTGGAAGGGACCCACAGGGATCATCCAGTCCAACCCCTGGCCTTGCACAGACACCCCAACAATCCCACCGTGTGCCTGGGAGCATTGTTCAAATGCTCCTTGGGCTCTGGCGGCCTTGATGCCATGCCCATTCCCTGGGGAGCCTGGTCAGTGCCCCTGCACCCTCTGGGGGAAGAGCCTTTTCCTGATGTCCAGCCTGACCCTCCCCTGGCACAGCTTCATGCTGTTCGCTCAGGTTTTGTCCCTGGCCACAGAGAGCAGAGATCTGTGCTGCCCCTCAGGTGTGATGAGGTCTCTCTCAATGCTGTCTGTGTACCAGGAAGATACCGGAGTCATCACCCTTATTCCTGCATTTAATTTTGCATAAACTTTGCTCAGAAGCAACAGAACAGTGCTGATGGGAACAGCCGTGACAGGCAGCTCCGAGCCATTCAGGGTGAGTTGCAATTTTAGTGGGACAGGACCCTGAGGACCCACCCGAAGCATGGCTGCAGCTTTGGAGAAATTTTGCTGTCAGACGTGCCACATTCATCCATATGCGAGAAAAAGATTTGTCTTTTGTTTCCTACCATTGCATAGAGGAGCTATCTTGAGACCTGGATGCTCACAGGCAGGATGAGCCAGACCTAGGGCACACAGCCATCCCATGCATGCCTGAAAGGTTTGGTGACAACACCTAATTATGAAAGCAAGAGTAGCCCGAGCAGATAGACCCCACAAGATTGCAGAAATATAGATTTCATGACACCGACCTGTGCAGCCGTGTTTTCTGCATGCCCCCTTTGCCCTTTGCAGTCACCCAAGGCATTAACCCTGCCCTGACACCCTCGTTACAGCCTCAAGGACTGCTTGTACATATCAGAAAAGGACGATCTGGAGTGATGAAGTAAAGAGTCTCCAGATCACGGAGAAGAATGTGGCCATTCCTCAAAGGCTGTGTGATGGAGGGATGGTGCAGTGCCATGGCACCAGGTGTCGCAAGGGCTTTCAGCATCATCCATGTCATCTGAGTGTGGGATGGAGGATGCTGCCTAGGAGTCTGAGGAGCTTAGTTTCTGTTCCCTAAGATCCCTGGATGCCTCAGTGCTGCTCAGAGCCCTCACTGGTGCTCTGCTCCCTTTAGAAGACATTTTCTGCCACACCCAGGCTGCTGCTGAACTGAGCCTTGTAACACATGGCCAAAGGAGAGGGACACCCTCACCAGAGGGATATGTCTGTGATGGGTGCAATCCAGCTTGCCCCAGACTGTGAGGAGGCTCAGTGTACCAGCCGGTCCAGGTGAAGTGTGTGCTGTAAAGTCAGCATCAAGCATTGACTGTGGTGTAATACCTGGGCAGGAGATGTTTTGTGCAGGCTTTGGCATTAGTACCCCTGGCAGGGGTGAATGACAGCAGAGGGCTGCCAGCTGGAGGATTTGCATCCTCATTCCCTGCAATTCCTCTCCTCTCTGTGGTCCCAAGTGAAAAGTCTGGTGAGGAAGCCCCCTGCAGGCAAATGTCAGCAATGTGTATCTGGGAAGATGCATTCAGGAAAGCGCAGGAAGTACATTGTCACACAATCTTGGAATGGTTTGGACTGGAAGGGCCCTTACAGCCCATCTTGTTCTACCCCCGTGCCATGGGCAGTGACACCTTCCATTAGAGCGGATTGTTCTAAACCCCATCTGCCCTGGCCGTGAACACTTCCAGGGATGGAACAGCCACAGCTTCTCTGGACAACTGGTGCCAGGGCCTCCTCAACCTCACTTCCTAACATCATAAGATCATGCATGAGCATATCAGAGATAACCAGAGCTCCTCTTCCTCTGTGCTGAGGCCCTCCATGGAAATATGTGAGGAATTGGGTGCTGCTGCTGTCTTGTTTTGCAGGAGCCCTGCAGTTCCAGTCTCTTTGCGCTTCTTCATTCTGCACCTCCTTAACCCCCCTCTTTCCATGGATACAGATCTGGCAGTCTCTTCTGCTCTTACAAGCTTTCATCAGTGGTTTATATCATAAAGATAAGGGGTTTTTTTCCAGTTACTGCAAATTCCTGTCAGGCACCATACAGCTTCTTTCTTGCAGATTTCACACAGGACGTCCTTGCTTCGGCACTGAGGTGATTTAATATGGGAAACCTAGGAGCACTATGGCATGGTGTCTCTTACTTCTGGAGCTGCATTCACAGGGTATCCTGCTGGCTCCAGCCATTCCCACCATGGAGGAGAGAGCTCTCCCTCACCCAGGGGAGGGTGGGAGGAAGCATGCCCCTGCCTTTGCTCCTCACTGTGTGATTTTGGAGGGAAGCAGGATCTAAATTTCCATACTGTTCACCTTGCTTTCTCTTAGGAATAAGAGGGACAGGTGGTCCTGGTCCAGCTAGGTTGCATGTCTTAACAGTCTGACTCAAATTCAGCATGAGAGTCTGGGGGACTTAACTTGCAGAGGACTTGTGCTGCCGCATCCCGCAGGGACACTGGTTTTGGGGCACCAAGCTGCTGTCACATGCCAGCAGCTCAATGCTGCTCCATCCAGAGGGGGCTGGAGGGTGCATGGACAGCATTCTTGTGGAGCAGGTGTCCCAGCCGGCATGCTCTCTGCTGCTGTGCTGGAACCTTGCACCCTCCTCTGAAGCCATTCCCAGTGGATAGGATGAAGGGTGGGAAGCGAGGCACTCGTGGGATGCAGGGAAGGTGACACCCAGCTCCAGCAGAGTCAGGTAGCAACTGTCTTCCTCCTCCTTGTCCCAGAGTGTGTGATCCCCTTCCCCTCCCAGCCCGGAGCAGGACGCAGCCTTGGCAGTGTTGCGGGAAAGCAGCGGAGCTTCATGGCGTTGCCTCTGCCAGCTCTAACCATGTTCCCTTGCATCTGCCCAGGTTTGGATGCCAGTCCCCCGGCCAGTACTCATGAACTCACCATTCCCAATGATGTAAGTAAATCCAAGTGCTTCCTTGGCATGTGTGTGTGTGTGTGTATATACACATACAAATATATACATACATGTATCTATGTATAATGTGCAGCCATTTGGCTTTGTTAAATATATTTAGATATATCCCTTCCCCATGTTCCCTCATCCTTGTGCAGTCGGTTGGGGATCAATCTGCAGCACAAAGTGCCTGTTGGACTTTACTCCGTCGGTAGCTTGCCCAGGTACAATCCTTAATGCTCCATTTTCCTTTCCAAGTGAACTCAGTGCTCATGAAACATGCCCAGTTGACAGCATTGGGAAAGGGAGAGAGCTCCCATGCCAGCTCTGATTAAACTCTTAATTGCTTAATCAGGCCGTGGCGGGTCTGAGATGATGTTCCAGCTCAAGGGTAGTGATGGGCTGGGGTGGTGGGGGAGAGGAGGTAAGTAAGTGACATTTCTGATGCCACAAAGTGCCACATAAGTGTCTGAAGGACAGTGTGTTTCAGTACTGCTGGCAGGCAGCTGTGGGGTCTGATAGGTGGAAGCTTTGTGGTAACATGGGTGCTGGACTGGGATATTTGCTGGGAGGAGGCTGGAGCCATGTTGAGCTGGGAGGAGGTGGGATGGAGAGCATGACACAGCCACCACCTGGATCCATGAGCCTCACTTGCTTCTGGACTGGTTTCTGTGGATTAAGACCCAGTCTGTGCTCAGATCAGGATGAGGGCAAGTGGAGGCATGACATCCAGTCTCTGTTCCCATGTCCATCACTAACAAGCACCTTTAGCCCATCCTCATCAGGAGTCTCTGGATAGGGCCTGGCAGCAGTTGCTCTTTCTTCCTGCTGTTCAGCAGCAGCTGGCAGTGCCCTGGAAGGTCAGCAATCCCGGCTGCAGCTGCCAGGCACCTCTGCCAAGACTTGTGTTCACCCAAGAAACATGCAGTGCAAGAGCCTGTGAGCACCTGCTGGCTGAAACCCTTGGAGATGCTTCACCCTGGGTCAAATCACCACGGGAGGGATCTGCAGAGCAGACAGTGGGGGCTGATCCCAGATCTGCTCCACCCAGCAAGGATCCCTCTCCAGGAAGCTGCAGAGAGCTCTGCAAGCGCTCCTGAGGTTCCAGGAGCCATGTCTGCTGAGCATGCAGGACTGTAGCAGTGAAGGTATCTTCAGAAATATGAAGAGACCCCTTGCGAAAGAACTCACATGGGAGGAAAGGATGCCAGGAGACCTCTGAGAGCTCAGGAGCACTTGGAGTGTTCACTCACCAGCGGCCGAGCTCTCACCAGACCTGGGAGATATTAGATGTTATCACCTGGACCTTGAAAACCTGCTCCTTAGCTCTCCCCATTGTTGTTTCAATGCCTTTAAAAAACCCACTGAACTCTCTCAGGAAGCAGAGGACAGGTTTGTGTTCCTTTAAGAGTCACCAGGTGTGTTTTAGTGGTGTAGCTTGGAGTTGTGCTACAGCGGAATGAAATCGGATGATACCCATCTTGCTGCTCCTCTGACTGTCAGAAACTTGAATGTTGTTCACCTTGGGTGTAGCTGAGCATCTGCCTAAATAAAACCTGCTCCTCAAGTCTCTCCAGCAGATTTTCATTTGCTAAACCAGCTCGGAGTTATTTCTGTGATGTGAAGACCAGGATGGGCTGAACATCCTCCCACAGACCCTGGGACAATGTATATTGACAATGGGACAATATACACCTTTCCAGTGTATATTTAGGTCCATATGGGATAAACCACCATGGCAGCCCCATGGTCTGATCAAAGGATCAGGGAGTATTTGGAGGAGTAATCATCTTTACTTATACTGTACAGAAATCCAGCAGCTGCCAAGATGAACATCCCGTGTATAAAATGCCCTTGGAAAAGAGCTTAAACGGCCTAAAAGAGCATGCAGAGCACTTCATGCCTGTATTGGTCAAGCTGGATATCCCCGTATGTGTTACCAAGCTTTGGAGATGATTTGAGGAGGATGCACAAATGAGCAAAGACCGTTGAAGAAAGTCAAAACACTGAGGATCATGGTGGAAATTCAAGGGATGAACAGTTGAGGAAATTCAAGTCTCCATCTGGCTCTCATTTTTTCAGAAGTGTATGAAAGACGTGTTTTTACGCAGAGTCCACCTCTTCTGTGGGTGCCCACTTGTGCCTGCTGGTGAGCCACTGGATTGCACCAAAAGAGCTGGAGGGGGTAGCAGAGGCACTGAGGCTGTCTCAGTGGGATAGAAGAAATGTGGGATGGGGTCACTGCACCAGCTGATGAGGGGACTCCTGGGGTTGGCCTGTCCCCAGTGAAGGCAGCAGGCTTGTTTCCTTCTAGTAATGTGTCCAAACCACCTTTGGGTTTGCTTTGGCTGGGAAGGGGATAAGTACTTGCAAAACATTGACCATTGATTAAACCATGAAAATTATTATTACTGAAATGAGCCCTCCTTGAAGCCCTCTGAGGTGCTGGGCATCATGTGCAGATAATGGAGATTCTTCCCCACAAGGAGCAGAGCAGGGCAGGACTCTGGATGTGTCCTTGGAGGACCGTGCTCACACGCTGGTAGGAATCACCCTGGGCTGTCCCTCTCCCGTTTTCATGAGCATTAAGGTCACTCTTGTCCCAGGCGTGCTCACATCCTGCTGGTGACTGCCAGAGCCGCTGCTTCTCAGACATTCCCTCCGTGCTTTCTTTCCTAGCTAATAGGCTGCATAATCGGACGCCAAGGGACCAAAATCAATGAAATTCGGCAGATGTCGGGAGCGCAGATCAAAATCGCCAATGCCACGGAAGGGTCATCGGAGCGCCAAATTACCATCACAGGAACCCCTGCAAACATCAGCCTTGCGCAGTACCTCATCAACGCCAGGTGAGATCCCCCGCCGACCTCCACCGCCTCCCACCACGGCCCATCCCGTCCCGCCGTCCCGCTGGGAGCACCCCACACTCCTGGTGCCATGGGCCAGCAGGGCCTTCCTGAGGCCGGCTGGGATGGACGGTGTCTTGCTAAGACCTCTGAGCAGGGACCAGACATTGCCAGCAGGACATCTGGCCTCAGCTGGCACTTTGGCTGGGGACCAGGAGCCACCATGCTGCTGGCGGAGCAGCCACAGGTCGTGCCGGGCGCCTGCCTTCCCTCCACCCTCGCTCAAGGATTTTGCTCGTGGGTGGGCAAAGTTGCCGCTGTCTTTCCTGGGAACGAGGCAGGGGACGGGGAAAGGAATGGAGCTGAGCCACTGGCAGGGAGGCGTCACTTGGGACCTGCTTGCTGGGATCCCAGCATCGCTTACTGCCTCTTCCACGTGCTTCCAGGCCTCCAAAAGGCTTTCCTCCATTCAGTGACAACAATCAGTCCAGTAAACGCAAGACATGGGAATGGCCTGACTGCTTCCTTTTCATCATGAAAAGCTTGGCACTGCAGGACTTCACAGGGGCCAAGGGTTCCCAGCGCTGCTGCTGTCTGGGGAGAGACGCAGCCCGTGCCATGGTGAGGCGTAGCTGCAGAGATGAGCTGGGGACCTGTTCCATGCAGGCAGGGAGCTGTGTCCAGGGTGCTCACTCAGACCTGTTTGCCTGTGTCTGTGAACTTGTGGGAAGTGAGTTTAAGGGGATACAGGACCTTTCTGGTATCTTTGCACCCACCTGGCAGAGCCACTCAAATGGGCCCATCCGCCTGGGCAGGATTGATGCCGTGCCAGCCTGCTGCCAGCCCCGGATGCGCGCAGGACGGAGGCTGCTGGCAGGGCCACGAGGACAGGGGGCTGCTGGCGGTGACGGACACTTGTTGGGGTGTGGGCTGGGAGCACCGGTGAGGTCTGTATGTGCTTTCTCCTCCTTGCACCCAACCCACTCGAGCCCCGACCCGTAGCAGACCCCTGCCATCCCATCCTGCCCTGCTACCCCGCTGCTCATGCCCGTGGCACCCCTCGCCCTGCTCGGGTGAGGGACGGGGCCAGCCCCCCACCCATGGGCATGGCTGAGTGGCTTCCCTGGAGATCCTTGCCAGTCTCCCCCCACCATCCCTGAGACGGGAAAGAGAAAGAAAAGAAAAAGAAGTGGCTATTAGTTGCTGGGAAGGGCTGGCTGAGCTGCCCCTGTGCAGAGGTGACCTGGTGGGGCAGCACAACAGGGCTCAGCCTCTCTCAACAAGAGCAAAACAAAGCAGCCAGGGGAGCTGGCACAGCTGCCTGTCTCCTGTGAAGGGATGCTGCTGGAAAAGAAGCTGTGCTCTGGGATGACTCCTGCCAGCACCTCTGGTGGGTGACACCCCTGCCGCGGCCTGGCTGCAGTGAGGAGAGGGAAAGCCAGCCAGCTATTGTGCTGGCTCTGTGCTCCAGCCCCCCATGCCCTCCTCGGGGGTCCGCCAGGCCACCCAGTGATGCTCTGCCCACTCCATCTACGCGGGATCTGGGCAAGAGGAGGAGCGCTGCCCCGCAGGGTCTTCGTTTTCTTTTCTGCTCTGGTGATTAAGCGCTTGTTTTTTGTCTCCCCCCCACCCCTCTCTCTGCCCCTGTCTATTCTAGGCTGACGTCTGAGGTCACTGGAATGGGCGCACTCTAATTTCCACCCACCATCCTCCACTCCGCACCACCCGACCCTCTCCAGCCACCGGCACTCCACCCAGCCTGTACTGCCTGTACATTTACCGTCTTCCCTTTGCCTCCACAGATACTCTTTTCTTTACTAACGTATATATATATATAAACACACGGGCGCGTATGCACACACTGGAACGTTTCTTTACAAGCTCTTTAATCTGTGCTCCCAAAGCTGCTCCCAAACTCTTTGGTTATGGTCCTTGTTTTCAGCGTTAGGGTGTTAATTCTTCATCTGCTTCTTGGGGACAGCAGGGCGGGGGGGTGGGGGGGGGCGTTGTTTATTTTCTCTCACTTGGCAACACTTCAGGAGCTGGCGGGGTCTCTAGTGTCAGTCTAGCATAGCTACCTGTACATTGAGTTGATGTTGGCGGTACTCTCTGTAGCGTATGGACATAATGATGCCACCCAGAGCTGTGCATGTTTCAGACGAATTAATTTTTCTCACCCTCCTTCCTTTGGTGCTCCCCCTTGCTTGTCCTGGCTCACCTTCGCCGCCTCACGCCCCTGCCCTTAGGGTAAGGGCATTCTTTTCACCCTGTGTTATTTGGGAAGCAGAAGCCAAGTACGGGTTCAGCCTGCAGGCTTCTCTCTTGGAACATGGCATGGTCCAGACAAGCCCATTTTCCTACTAAGCTAAGGGAATCACACACACACAGATACACACAAATGCTCTTTTCTTTTTTAACTAACAAGCACCTGGAAGTGGGAAGAACTCAGCTGTATGGGACTCACACCCCCAGGAGCCTTTGAAAGCACTCTTTTGGCAATCCCCCACAAGCAAAACCTCAGGAAGCTCTGTGAGCCAGCTGTGTTTGTCGTTGTTTGTGTTCAATAAATGTCTGTGCAGCTCTGGTACTGATGGGCTCCGATTGTTCTTCTCCTGGGTCGCCCCAACAATGCCAGCCCCATCCTTCCCTCTGCATCCTTCCACACCTTTTTAGCTACTTGGAGGGAAGGTGGGGGTTGTATGCAAGAGTTCTCCATTTTTTTATTATTATCATTATTATTACTATTATTACTATTATTATTTCTCATCAGCATCATAATTTTTTTCTGTTTTCATTTTTTTAGAGAAATGACCAAGGCACTTCCTGAGTGATTCCATGCTTTCTGTTTTTTCTTTTTTCTTTTTTTTTTCCAAAGGGAGAGTATTTGGCTTGCGTAATCCTTTGGTTTTCCCTGAGATTAATTCATAAGTTATGGTGTGACAACCATCATCTTTCACTGCCCCCTTGTCTGGACGGATCTGCCATGTGTGTCTCCCACACCCTTCCCCAAGACCCTCTCTGCCCAGCCCTGCCTTCTGCTTCCCGGCTTTTCTTCTCTCTCTTGCCTCTCCAGCAGGGAAATGTACATTTTTCATTTCTTAATTCCTGACTGTCCCTTTTCCCAGATTGCACATGAGGGGACCATGATACACTGTGTCCCCAGACAGCTGAGGCAGCCACACAGTGCATTTTTGCACTGTACCACATGGAAAATGCATTGTTTTTTGAGGTGAGCCCCAAGACTTCCTGGGCCTTTCCCTGTCTTCAGCCCTCAGTACCAGCAGGCACCACTGGCAGTTTCCCACCCTTCCCCTGCCAGGATGCTGGGCCACTTCTCCTCCTGTCTCCAGCACTGCCTGCTCAGCACTCAGGCTGTGTCAGGGATCCCGGGGGATGCCACTGCATCCGTGGGGCCAAGGATGGGCAGGGGATTGTGGGCTCCAGCAGGGAGCTGGTGAGGATGAGAGCCAGCCCAGGAGCCCAGAAAGGTGAAGGTTGTGCTGCTGAGCATCAGGGTTTGCTCTGCCCAGGTATCCTGAAACCTGTTCATGCTCAGCTGTCTGCAGCATTCCAAGCTTCTGTGGCTGAAAGGTGCTCCCAGGTGCTCCCAGATCCTCCATGAGGTGCTTTGCTGCCTGTCTCCAACTGCTTGCGCTGCTCTCCCTGGCACTTTGGGTTCAGCTTTGTATTTTGGGTGGCCCAGCAGCCACACAAGCTCAAGAGCATCCCCTGGTTCCCCGTCCAGAGGAGCACAGGTGCTGTGGAGAGTGCTGAGGGCTCAGGTGGAGCTGGCAGCCTTAGCTGTCGCCTCCCCCATGTGTTTGTGCTGATGCTGAGGATGGAGGGAGGGAGGCAGGCACCAAACAGGGCCTCTTCCAAGTCACCAACTGGCCAGCAAAGCACAGACCCACCGGCCAAGGTGGTGAGTCAGCTGTTGGCAAGGGGCGCTCCTCATTTTCTCCTGTTCCTCATTCTGCTTTAGAACAAGTGTTTTATCTGTTGGAAGAATGAAATATCTGTGTGTGAGACCCAGTGAAAATAACCACCCCGGTGGTCTAGGGGGTGAGCCAGGGCAAAAGCTTCCCATCCATCCCACTTCCACCACACTCCATGGCAGCCTGCCCGTGGGGTGCTGTCTCCTCAGAGGAGGATGGTGTATGGAGGAAGCCAGCCCATCCTGCTGCTCTTAGCTCCTCTGTGGAGCTGCAGGACAAGCTGGAGCATGAGGAGAGTTTCTTCATGAGGAGAAGATGGAGGCACAGCAGCAGCAGAATCACGTTGACCAAGACTGAGAAATCCATCCCAGGCCAACAAGGCTGTGGGGTTCAGACACCTGGGGAAGGCCAGGGAGTGTGACAGCATCCTGGACACAGAAATGGCTTTGCACAGTGCCTGCAGATCACGGCTGCCCTGAATTCCCCTGGTCTCTGTGTGTGTGCTTCCTGTGCCGTTCCCCACCTCCACAGAGAGAGTGCTGCCAAAAATAGCAAATGCCAGGTTGGGTCTGCCAGATGATGCTGAGCTCAAAGGCTGCTGCAGAGGGGGAGCAGACTGCAGCAATACCTCTGCACCCATCCCCACACCAGCAAACCCACGGACAGCACCCCTTCTGAGTACCGTCCCCATCCCAGCCCAGTGCCAGGCATCCATCACCCAGCCGGGCTGCAGGAAGGCCACCCCAGGAATCAGGGCTGAGGCAGAAGAGGCTGGATGTGACTGTTGCTCTGGCACCAGGCAGGTGTCCAAGATGCTGTGTCAAGGCTTGTGCTGCCATGAGCATCTGTGCTCATGGGAGTGCTGCAGGGAATGCTG